CACTGAAAAGTAACCTGCCACCTTCAATAACATGCTTCACTTAGCAATAATGTGCTTAATTTTACCTCATCTGGTCACAGCGGAGGTATTTATTTCTTCTCTTCTTGTGGACATTAGTGTAAAGCAATTGTCCATAAGCATTACCATAGCAACAACTGACACCTACAATGATGTGGGATTTCTTTCAGGGCAAAAGTACATAAGAAACCAGAGGAGCTTTACTATCATCCAAATAATAAAACACACCAGTGATCAGACACCTTGCTTTGGCTTTAGGGTGTAATTTAAACATAATACTACCCTTTATTGAAACTACTGAAGAGTTGACCTAGCTCCCTAACGCAAACACACAATGTCAAACAAATGTTGCGCTAGTTGAGACTTTTGTGCTGCTTTCCACTAGAACAACAATTTAGTTAAATACGGCCACATGGACCTGGCAATACTAATAATTCTGAAATGTCATGCATATCCTCCCTTGCAAATAGGTGCTAAAAGTAATCTCCTCCCCTCCCCCCCCACCGTGTTTTCGCAGTAGCAAGCCAAGAACATTAACAGTAGGAATTAAGACTATTTCACACATTATGGATTAGGAGTGTGCACTGTGTGTACATCAACAAATCTGGGTCAGCTACACACATTTATATCACCAGGTACATGTGCAGCAGATACCTGGAACTGGTTGCATATCACCAGTAGGTCTATGTACATGCAATAAAAAGACAAATGCATGCTCTCTTACACCAGAGTATGTATAGCGGGCATTGGTTCACTCATCCTGAACAAAAAAAAACCACATATATAGGTCACCCCTTTTACTCATTCTCTGTTGTTGTGTTTACAATGGTTTTCAGTGTGATTACGGAAATAGAAGAATAACAGCACAATCCTAAACCTGTTTACTCAGAAAAGTTTTTATTGTATGGTTTTCGGTATAATTGCTGTAAACTACTCTGCTTTTTTATGATTAGCAGTATGTGGGTATACGACTGGGTGTGTTTGTAGAATAGTACAGAGGAGATCTAAAGTGTTTGCAAAGAAAGATACTCATAGCAAATTTTGGAGGTGGGACGAACTTTGCTGTGGTAGTAACTCATGGCTGGTTAGTTTTGGTACTGTCACACCATGGAGAAAATAACGGTAGCAGCCAGGTGACAACAGCTGGAAGGAGTTCCAGTGCCTATCAGTTGGGTTTCACACCCAATTTTCTCTTCCTCTCCCACCGATACAACACCCAGCCACCCTGGGCTTTTATCACACATAAAGGAGAATGGCAAGATGCAGGAAGTATTTTAGCTCAGCCCAAATTACTGCAGATTTCTAATGCTAGACTAGATTTAGCACACATCAGTCCAACATCAAAGAGGCTTGTATGACTGCATTACAATTGCAGAGTTTACACCTGCTAAAAGTTACAGGTGGGTGGAGGAGTAAGATTGTATATATTACAGGTAGGTAGCCGTGTTGGTCTGCCGTAGTCGAAACAAAACAAAAAAATTCCTTCCAGTAGCACCTTAGAGACCAACTAAGTTTGTTATTGGTATGAGCTTTCGTGTGCATGCACACTTCTTCAGATACCTTCAGATAAATTGTATATGTTTGCTTTTTCACTGTTTAGGGAGTGGAAGAGATTAAATTGCTCACAATTTTATCTTGATTAAGGAGAAAATAGAAACCAAATGCAGGAGAATGGCAGATCTGAGCCGCTCTGAATAAAAGTGCTGCACACTCAATCACTAGGGATATTATCTGAAGCTTTATTCACCTTTCTTCCTTCCCAGATGGAGACTAAGCTCCAATCCGGCCAGCTTAAGAGACCTGACAAGATCAGAGGTCACTGATAAGGTGCTGCTATGTCTGCAGGTCATAGCAAGAACACAACACGCACACCTTTATTTGCCATTGGGCTGCTATTGGCTTAGCAGTTGCAACCAGAGGCATCAGTTGCTGAGAAGAAGATTACGACTGAGGAGTCTCCCTCCCTTCTAATTACCGTACTTCAAGCTGCGTCTGTCAGAAGGGGGAAGACTGAGGAGTCTGCTGCATTTCTCTATGCCATCCTCAAAACACAAACAAAGGGAAACAGCTCACCCTTATCACAATGTTTATATATTAATTAAATTTCAATACCGCCCTTCATCTGAGGATCACAGGGTGGTTTACAATATAAAAACACAAATGTAAAAATAATAGCTATGGAACAGCTCAACTCCCATCACTTGATCTCAACGGGACTTTGCCATGCCTCACAGTACAGTTGGCTGCCTTTTGCTGGATCATAATATGAAAATGGCATTTACTCGCTTCATTTTTATTTGCAACTTTTTGCTATCTAAAAAAAAAAGACACAAAAACAGTTTAAAAAATAGATTGAGGTGGTCTCATACAGGTAGTGAAGCTGTTTACACCAGTGGAACTGCTCTTCAGACTAATTTGTCCAAGGAAATTAGTGTTTCTCCCACGCCTCATTATTTTGCTGTGAGGGGCTTCCCACTTTTTCTTTTAGTACAATAACCATTATAGTTCTTTCTGCCTTAGACACAAACAGACCTATTCTCTGCACGTCTTAGCAAAATTGTGCATCTGCTAAAAATATTACATCAGCAACTTAAACAAATATTATCATCCAAACTGAGCTTTCCTTTTAACTCTGGGTCAACATAGCATTGAACCACAAATGGAGGACTCACATTAGTTTGCTGGGAATAGGCCAATGCTGGGCTCAGGGCAGTCTCACTGCTCATTTTACAAAACAATTCTTTCTGCAGTCATGGAAGTAGAAATCTTTTTTTAAAAATTAAATAAATTTCTATAGTAGCAAGGCAGAACATTGAGTAAATTGGTTTACGATGCATTAGGTAAATTCTTCTGTCTAGCAGAAGTTAATGTTAAAAAACTGAATCTAAACATTTGTGCCGGCAATCAATGTGTGGCTTAGAGCTGTGAATTTGTGTGTGATGCCTCACACAGGTTTCTATATCCTTGTGCAGAGGGTTAGTTAATCTTTAGTTTAATGTTTGTTATTCTAACTGGTTCAAGTTCAGATTCTGAATCTGATGATGTCTCAATCAGCTAATTACACATTCGACCACAACCAATAAGAAGTTATTACATTACATAGACTAAACAGCTTAAAAATTGGCTCCCAGATCCACAAGGTTCCATTTGAAGCAGATTCCCATGAGACTAATGAATTTGTCCAGAACTCAAGAACAATCACAAACTCTGATTATACAAAATCCTCTGAACACCTAAGTGCCTATATCACTCTGTGAAAACCTCTTAACACTCGACTTAACTGTCTTAATCCTAAAGGTAGGAGTCAAAAGTATCAAAGCGGCCAAATAAATTGATCCCATTGACAGGATAAAAACTATGGCCAGGATCCAGGCCAGAGCAAGTGGCTGTTATGCTCAGACAAACAACTATTTAAGCTCCTGTTCAAGTTGCAGCTCCCTGCATGCTCCCAAAATCTCTCTCCCAAGTTTGGGGCCCTCCACAGTGGAAGCTGGTAAGATACAGTACAAGGAACTGTAATCATGGGCAATTGTAGTCTGTGCCTTCCTCTGTGTGCGGGATCTTATCCAGCATGCATAATCCAGCCACAGGGAAGCATTTCAGTGAAAGAGAGTGAAGAATATGCTTAACTTTCTCTGACTGAAATAAAAAAAAAAATTGTGCCCAAATTTTGATGGAATCTGTGGCATGTTAGCAACACTCCATAAAGGCTCTCCAGTAAAAGAAGAATCACTAGCTGCTGCCGTTTTCAATTCAACTATGCAACGGAAGGCAATTTATGGTGAAAATACTGGGTTGCCTGGAGATTGATGGCCGAGGGAAAACTGACTAGATAGGCTGGACTCAAGCATTTGTCACTTGTCCTCCCTGAATGGCACCTTTATACTTCAGAATTCCATTTTCATCATTTGGAAAATGGAGGTAATGACCACATTTGTAATTCTGTCTAATACCTAGCAGTATTTAAAATATTATTATTTATTTAAAATTTAAAGCACCTTTCTTCTCCAAGCAGTTCAGAGTGGCAAGATGGGCTGCTTGAATGCAAGAACTGACCACCACTGTTTCTATTCAATTACCGTAATTCTTTGCTAGACATTCCACAATCTTCTGTATCACAGCAGTAATAGGCAAAACGTAACACTAAAGGAATGATGCAGTTAAAAAAAACCTGCACTTTCCAACCTAGGCCACATTAAAGGAGTTTTTACATTTATGTTCTGTACATTGCAAGTAATATTGGGACTATTGCACTGTCATGTTACTTGAATTTATCATCACTTCACAGCAGCAGAAAGAAACTATCAACTATTGTGTTCCCCTTTCTCAAGAGATGAAGGGATAAAAATAAATTTCAACGAAACACACAACTAAGGGGTGGCATAATAATTGAAAGGCAGGGCTTCTGCTTGGACCAGGCATCTAATGGTAACAGAACTGAAAATACTTTTTAATCAAACAATACATGTTTTTAAAAGGACCTGTTTAGGAGCTCTGCTTCTTGACTTACCACCTTGTTGCCTTAACTATACTTTCTAGTCTACAGCCACCTTAACATCTGGTTAGACTGGACTTCCTCAACCTGGTGCCCTCCGTAGGTTGCTGGACTACAACGCCCATTGTCCCTGACATTTGGGCCACGCTTCACCGTGGCTGATAAGAGTTGGGAGTCCCAACAACTTCTAGAGGGCACCAGGTTGGGGAAGCCTGGCTTAGGCTACCATATGGAAAATTCAGAAATATGCCAGCTGTTGAACTTACAACAGCACTACCATTTATTGACTATTTAGAAAAGCAAGGCCCGAGGTAGTTGCTGCATAATACAAAGTAGACAAATCCAGCAGCCGCTCTAGAGTATATATACCCTCTGTTCATCTCCATGCTTCTTAGCAAATATTTCGTGTCCACCACAGATTTTAGCAGGTCACTGAAACAGCTCAAAGGTGGACAAGTCCAGACTAGAGCCCAGCTTTCTTACTTACCTGAACCTTCTGGATAATCAAACAACCATTCACACAAATAGTAGTCATCTGGATTCAGGTATGGCAGCTGCTTCATCACAGACTGCTTGGGGATGAGGTACAAGACCTCAGCAATATCACCGTCCTCTATAATAGACATCCTTTTGATAGAGTTTTTGTACTTTATCCGCTCAGACACCAACCTCTTGCTTTTCCCTGATCCACAAAGCTTCCCAAAACTGTTTAGACTGGGGAAAGATGGCATATCTATGGCAACTGTAAAGCGAGCAGCTAAGGAAGTAAACCAGAGTGAGCGAGCGAGTGAGAGTGTGAGAGCGTATACATAGCCACTGGGCTGCCACCGTCTGGCATGCTGTCCTCATACATCCTTATTTCACTTCCTTGTCCACTAAAGGAGATTAAGCAGGAAGTATTTTTAGCAGTGATCTTCAGGAGATTATGACAAGCACGCTTAGTCAGGTGACAGCCTTCAAAACACTACTGGAACCAGCAACGCTTTGCTTTGGTGTCCATAAATGTGAAGTGAAAGCATATAGAGCATGGCACAATCGGATTAATATCCTGGGCAAGAGAGAGGACATATCTGAGGTAGATAAGAGGATTACTTTTGAGAAACAAAAGCCTCAGCACAGTGGAAGAAATCTTGTTAAGAAAGAACCTTCATAAGCCCCACATATCCATCTGTGCATTTAATCTAACATTTCCCATGTGCATTACAGCTAAGGAAGGCTCACCACACTCCATTGTATCTTGCACAGCATTTCTACCAGCAGCAGATTTTCCTGCGAGACATAATTTCTGCAGCCTCTATGGTCACAAAAGTAAGTATCTATAGCCTTCTTGAGAAATATTTACTTTCCCAACTCCGCCATCTCCTTCCTCCTTCCAGTCACATTAACAGAAGACTCACAAAGGTCCCAACTGTTACCCCCACCTCTAGCTGTATTTACAACAGATATCTACAATCTATTCCTAATGACTTGCTAATCTAAGAAACTAAACTAATGAATTTTTTTTCCTTGGGAAAGAGCAAAGTAAATCATTAACAGTGCATTCAAAAGCACTTGAAGCCAACAGCGCATAAGCAAAGGGGCAAATTCTAGTTGTTGTTAGCATCACATAGTTACAGGGACTGACTTTGGGAGAGCATGCAAACCAAATGGAACCCCCACTACCCCTTGTTTCAGGTCTGCTGCAAAAATAGTTCCCCACATGGAATTGCTTAATCGCCATGTTGCTTGCTTGCAGTCCATTTGTCACACTGAAGCATAAGAATGTAAGAAGAGCCCTGAACAAAGGCTCATCCAGTCCAGCACCCTATTCTCCCAATGATGAACCAGAGGCCCAAAGGAAGCCTGCAAGCAGGACATGAGTGCTTCAGCACTTCACACCTGCATTTCTCCCTGACTTGGAGGTGTATATTCAGCAAAATCATGTTCCACAGCTCTCCCATCCTCTTTTTTCTAGAAAGGGGAGTAATTCAATTTTCTTTTCACATATTAACAAAAACAATACAAAGGGTTCTTTATTCTCACTAAACATTCCCCAGTCCTCTCTTTCCCTATGTTCCCAGATGGCAGCACATGTGAAAGGATGAACATAGACCCCATTCTATAAGACAGTTTTCATGAATAAGCAACTCAGAAGTTAAAAGTATGTGCTGCTCTTTAAAAATCACCTAGGGTGTCTCTATTTTCATCTGAGAAACTAATCTCCATTGAGAAGAATTCTTGAGTCAAAAACATTAAGTGCTCTTTAAACTCAAGCTCAAAAACGAACAGTTTGTGTGAATGCTGTATATATGCACTAAAGTGAAGCTTACTGCAACTGAAAGACTACCTTACCCAATACTGCTGAATCTAACAAAAGATACACTTTGGCTGTTGTTAACAGTTGAATGACTGTGAGCACCCGCAAAATAAAACTGGAGTGGTTTGTTATGGGTGTTCATTCGCTCTGTACATGCTCACCCACACAAGCTAACACGGACTCTAGAAAAATGAAATTAAACTACAAACCATAGGCTTTGTCACTGTAGACAAAGCCTATGGTTTGTAGTTCTATTGCAACCTTTCTGGTTCCAGCGTTTGTTCCTAGTGTTAAAATTCAATAACTCTGCAAGATACCTCAGGGTGCTTGTTTATACAATCAAAATCAATGGATAACCTGAAAATTCTTACTATGACATAAAAATCTATTATTTATCTAGCAATAAGCTAAGCAGGCAAATGCTCTCAGGGCCGTCAAAGCATTCCAAAGTAGTTTCATGTAATTCATTGGTCTGAGCTCAACTGAGCAAACGTAACATGCCTGTTTGCTGAGTACATGGTAGCTTATCTTGAAATGAACAGAATGGAGAACCCGGGGCTCTTCATTCAATCGCCTTTGAACTACACTCACAGCATAGTCCCTGTATGGCCTTAGACTTTGTAAACAAACCCTGAGGGTGAAGTGAGTTCAGGAGTAATCTTAATATGAAATCTTCTGTAACAAGTGAGGGACAGGGAAACAAGGCTGAAGAACTGCTGTATTTTAAAAGTCATTTTCACCACATTCAGCTACTTGTGAACTTTTGCATGTGCAGCTACAATGAAACAAGGGCCTTTTCAAGAACTCTTACCCTCATTTGCGCATGTGAGTGTATTCTGTGACATTGCAAAGATCATGGTAAAGAACAAGAATGCCTGCAATTTCCATAAGTATTTAACACAACAATTTGCCCAGAGAAATGAAAATAGTAATAATGATGAATATGGATATTTACCCCATGTAGCTCAATTTCCAGCACCAGCCACATAGGGCGAGGAGAACCCACTGCCTAAAACTCTGGAAAGCAGCTGCTAGTCATTGTACAATGCTGAGCTAGATGGGCCAATGATATGACTTAATACAAGGCAGCTTACTATGTTTCTAAGAAATATAAATATTAATTTCTTTCAAGATTATAGTACATCTCTCTCTGTGTGCATATGTATATATATGCATACACCCTTAAACAAAATTGCTAAGAATTGGCTGCCTCCCATTGTGACACAATCCAATATCAATACTTTAAACAGGAGGACAACTGGATACTTAAATTAATCTGCTGATGAAAGTTTTTGTGAAATGATTGCCCCAAGAAAGTATGATTATTATGGTGGTAATCAGCTGTAACTTTTTTCAGGCTGGGCAAATTTTCTTTCCAACTGCACCCCTTTAGGTCATGTTGAATGTCATTATGAAGAGTTCCCTGACTTCCGTGATCAGCTGGTGACTGGAGGTAGGATGGGGGGCTGGAAAAGTGTCCCTGCACACAAAGAACCCTCCACGCATGGCCCTTTAGATTTTAACCAATCCGCCATTTTTAAAGTTTAGCTCCCATAGAATCAGACAGTTTAATTTAAAAAGCACACTCACACAATAGGAACTGGTTTTTTGTTTAAAAACATAAAATACTACAGAGTGTTTTGCTAGGCCAATTTGTTATTATTAGTGGATTAATTTGGATTGTGGTGTGTTAAATTGTTGCTTTGCTTTTCAACGTAGAATTATGTATTACCTGCAATGCTGACTGTGAGTCATGATTCCTGTTAGAAGCAGCAATCAAAGCTTTTTTTTTTTAAGCCTCAACATTTCAAAAATTAGCACAGCACTTCCATGCGTTTTGCAAAGGAACTTTGGCCAAGTCAAAACAACAGTGACTTTCAATGAAATTCCGCAAAACATTAGACAAATGTTTTTGAACCCAATATCAGTAAAGCAATACTTCACTCCATCGTACCAGACTTCCAGTGACACCCTGAAAATAACAGTCCAGCCCTTCGTCCTGTAATTACCATTTGCTGCTAATCTTGTTTTGACTTCAGGGCTCAGTTCACTTTCCCCTCTCCGTTTTCAATTTAACCAGGGGGTATGTCTATAAGACCCTGCATTTGCCTTCTATAATACAACGTGACAAGAATGAGAAATGAGCAAAACAAAAAGGAATCTAGACTAACCAGGAGGCTTTCTCAGATCAGACTGCGGTTCTCAGTAGATAAGTGACCTCCAAGGATAATGCTGCAACATCTCAGATCAGGACCAAGAAAGCCAATAAATTATATACAAGGGATAAAGGATGAATTTAGTGCTGGCAAAGATTACTGAAAATACTTACATATTTCACAAAATTTGGCCCAGTTACTGACCTCCTGGAGAAGCATAGGCCACTTTTTCTTCTGCCGTTTTTATTAGTCTGAAAGCTCCTGACAACTAATATATGCATATACTCTAACAGGCCTCCACATTTGCCTAGAGTGTTTATCCAGGGCCAACTGGAGAGCTATTTCACATTTAGCATGAAGCAAATGTTTCCCATCACGCCTGTCTATTAATTTATAGAAGTATTTCTATACTGCTGTGTCACAAAACGTCAAGGTGGTATATACTGCTAAAACTTAAAACATAATTTAAAAATTAAGTTTTAACAATACAGAAAACCTTTAAGGTGACTTGATAATATACTGTACATTTGTAGCACCTCCATTGTATTAGCAGACGCTGGTATACTTGTAGTCCAAAGCAGCTTCACATGGGGAGGGGAATCTAATGTGGTACTGGTTTGGGTGTGTGCATTTGAATAACATTCTATTATTTATTTATTCAGTTTATATCGCGCCAGTGTGGCAATGCTGATGCCCTTTAACATTTCACTTATGAAAACAGGCGCACTCTTGTCTGCAACCCCTTTATTTTCACTTCAAGGATGACTACCCAAATATACCTCCTTTCACTACCACCATACATGTTTGAAGCCTCTTCTCTTGCCTCTGTGTCATCATTTGCTCTGCAATAGCTTGTCAGGCATTGTGAATTACCAAAAGGACCTTAATGGTTTCCTTTAATAAAAAGAGCACTCAGAATATTTAATAGAAATCACTGAGTGTTTGATCATAGAATGGATCTGGATGTACTTATTATAGGATAAAAGTGGAACAGACAAGTATACAGTCGTACCTTGGTTTATGAACTTAATCCATTCCGGAAGTCCATTCTTAAACCA